CAGTCCCTGTAGGGCAGGTGTGTCAAGTCGTGCAATCGCCGACCAGGAATCTTCAACATTTTCGGCTTCACCGCACTCCGATCTTCAGCCGCATTTTCGCCAGCAGTCGAACGATCCAGAGGAACAAAAAATGTGTATGTGATCCAACCCATTTGTCACCAGGCCCTCACAGTCCTTCACTGAGCTATAGGGCATCTCTATGTCTGCCATATCGAGGAAGAAACAACCAACGGTCTGCAGTCCTTGGTAATGCAGTCTCAGGGTCCTCGAGAAGAAACAGTCGCAGAAGCAACTCCTTCATTTTCGATCCATGCTGTGGCAGTGAATGCAAGGCATTCTCAAGCTCTGTTCCTCAACATTCCGACTCACTCGGACTTGCCGATCCAACTCTTCTGGCTCTTCATTCGCCTTTGCAGGGACTTTGTTTGCCAGTGTTTCAGCTCGTGTCGGCGTTTCGACAGTTTCGGCCTTCACCGGTTGGGCCTTTGATTTGCCAATCTGCGGGTCATATGGACGAGAGGCTTGTGCTTCAGTCCAAACTCAACTCGTCCTTTCCATTCCTTGGGGTCATTCGGCCTTGTATTCGATAGTGTCAGGAAGTTCGCATCCTTGGCAGGGACAGTCGACGGTCTTTGTACTTCTTGTAGGTCACTCTTTCTCCACAACTTGATTCTCGGGTCAAGCATTTCTTCTCGCCACACCTTCACATGCCTTATCAACTTCAGGTCGGGCTCATTCACTTCCCATGTGCCGCAACGACAACCATCAGACCCCTTCATTCCTTGTGCCGCTGCAATCATGGAACACATGGTCAACCAAATCATCATAATACCAGTCACCATCCGGACTCCGTTCATGATTCCGTTCACCTTGCTGATTCTCTTGCTGACGTTCCTCTTCGATCACCGCTGACATTCTACTTGGTGACCGGTGACATTCTACTTTTTCCTCCTTTCGGGCATTCTCTACTCCAGTGGTTCGGGTCACGACACAGAAACAGCCTTGTGCTTCACCTTTTCCTTTCATTCCCTTGTCCGTTCGTTTCCTTTGTATCCTTTGTTCTTTCCTTGTCCTCGACCCTTGTACATTCCTTTGCCTTTCATTCCTTTGCCTTTCCATCCTTTCTTCCCTTTCAGTGCTCCTACATCCATATTGGCCTTGCTTTGGTGGTCATGCCTACCAATCGGCACAGTCAGGCGTCTGCTCTTGATGATACTTCACACAATCTCCAGGGCCTCATTGAACGTTGTGATGCTGCGAACATTCAACCGCAAATGCTGCTGCAATGGACCAACGGTCTTCTGCATTAACAGCGCGATCAAGAGATCATTGGCCAGTGAGTGCCCTACCCGTCGTCGTCTCATGCCTGTTCTTCAGTATCACGAGCTCACTCAGGTCACACTCTAGATGATCATTTCTGAGCATAAAACCAATGATCCCATGCAAGAAATTCGTGGCCTGAGTTGTCTCGGGCAGCGAGAACTGCTTGTGCAATCGACGCCAAATCTCAAAACCATTCTCTGTGTCCTCATTTCGCATAGTCGCCCTTCCGGCACCATCAGTGATTTGCGCCATCATGTATGCCAATTGTTTTGAGAACAGTGGCAGCTGGTTATTCTGAGTCCTAGCCTGTCACATTCGATCTTTCCTCATCATCCATCATCAGCTTCTCAATCGGCTTGTACAGTCCGACATGTCGCTTCAGCTGCCATGACCAGTCTTCCTATTTCTCCAACCCACCATGGTAAGCATGGGGACAAAGCAGGTTGACCTCTCCGCCAATCCGTCGTGTTCCAAAGACCAACTACATAAGCCCAACACTCACGACATTCCTTTGTGCGACCGAGCCAGTCCTTGAGCCAATGCCGTCCGGCATCATGGCATTCGTTAATGCATTATGTTCATTGGGAGCATTCCAAGACTGGTTGCATTTAACAGAACGAGTGAGCGAGAGAGCGACAGCGAGAGAGCGAGGGAGGGGGGGAGCGAGGAGGCGAGAGAGGGGAGGGAAGAGGGGAGATGGAAGAGAGAGAGAGAGGCAGACAGACTGTACCGGATTTTCCCTGCTCCTGAGCCAGGCAACTCGATCGCCCAATCCCGGACCTTGTTTTCATTTGCTTGGTCATAGTTGTGGCTTGGTCTGCTTGGAGGTTCAGGGACCTAAAGGCGGAAGCCCAAATGCCGGTTAATTGGATATTCGAGTCAGGCCATGCTCACTAGAAGTACGAGCTTGAGACAGTGCAGGCATGAAGTTTTGATTTTTCATTGTTTAATTGAGAAGATGATTTTGTTAGGATTGGGAATGATGCTGGCTACACACGCCCTTCACTGCAGTTGTCGAAGGCTGCCCTGTGACTGCACCCACCAAGCCAGAGATGACTCAAAGGGTTTCGCTCCGAGGTCGTTTCATATCTGCTGGTGGTCGCACTGCGGCAGTACGGACGTGCACGGCAGGCCAGGTGAGGTTTACAAGCTTCGTTACAAGCTTCGACACGCGACTGGAAGCATCTACATGAGGATGCTTGTCCGGAGCTTCCGTCAGTGTGCGAAAAATTTATCCGCGTGCGACATTCTTTCAGTCAAGTCCACGGCCGATGGCCAAAGACGTAAGTGCTTTTTTGACAAGATCACGGCTACCATTTACTTGCCAACGCAAGCTGCAGAAGCAGAAGGCAAGCCAAAAGCTACAACAAACAGCTATTTGGATACCGACACGACCCCGTACAGCGGTGCAAGCATATTTGTCAAAGCCTTTACAAGGATACTTCCGAGCTAGCAGTGAGGAAGCTTGGGTCCTCCTAGAATCTCCGAAGCCTACAGCACCCTTGTGTAGCTTCCGGCCGAAGTCATCGAGTCCAAAATATGCCTTCGACCCAAAGCCTCAAACCCAACATTGACGTTAGTATGGTTGTGAAACAAGATTATGGCTATTGTTATTCTTGTTGTTACTCTTGACATTATGAACTTTAGCAGGCCCTGGAGATGCAGCTGCGGTCCTTCGCTGTGCAGGTCCTGGGACCTGACCTTCCTTTTCGCTTTGTTTTATTTGCGTATATTGAGGGGAGTATCTTATTTGAGGGTTTCTGGTTTATGGGCACAGTGCCACTGTCTAAGACAGGGTCCCGTATATCTGAAATTCTGATTTAAAAGGCGTGTTTCCGACAAAGGGGGCCTTCTGTAAGATCGTTAAAACAAGTTGCTCAGGGTCTATATTGAGGGACTGAGGGCCCGCAATTTTCCTAATGTCCCAACTAGGGTGTCTCCGGAGTCCGCTTTTCGCGACCTGGCGCATCGCATGCTTTTAGCGGAGTTGTAGCAGAAGCCCAGCAGCGTATGCCCCTAGCGACGGATCCCTACTGCCTGCGGAATAAGTTTTCTTTCCACATGAGCATTTTGGGCTGGCGTTGCAAGTGCTCACGTGAAGTCCGGAAGCACCGCTTTCATGTTTTCACTTCTTGTGTAAATTGTCAAGGGCTTCAGGTCAACTCGCCCAGAAAAGCCTGTCGTACAATTGAGGTGTAAGTCCCATGTGTGTTCCTCCTCGAATGCTTCATGGTTAGTTCTACATAGATTGTGAGTAGTGGACCTAGAGTTACTTTTACTTAAACTCCAACTCCAATTTGCTTTTTGACCATGACTCTGCAAGCTTGCAGGAGGCTGACTGCTTCAGCGCCTCAGACCGCCGAGCCGTGGAGAAAGCGTTGCTGCGCTGGCGGCCTGGCCGTGCCAGACGAAAACCAAAACACTGGGCTTTAGGGGTTAAGGGTTTAGGGTGTAGTCTGGACAGGGAGAACGAAAGCGATAATCTCTCAAGATTTCAACAGGAGAGGGTTCTCGACTGACAGGGCGATTAGGCATGGGTCCATAGGCACCCCTTGCAGCAAATGGGTTTCGGACTCAGGTCATGCCGTTTGGGTAGTGGTAGCATGATGGTGTTTGATTCCCTCCTTGCTAGCCTGCCTTTAGCACGATTGACATGGATGCTAATTTAGACACCATCCCTACCAGCACTACGCGACCAGTACTTTGACAGCGAAGCAGTCAAAAGAGCCATAAAATTCGTGATCATGATATCAGTCGTGGGTTTTTTGTTCCGAGAAGTCAGGTTCGTCAACCTGGACGTGTGCAACAAGCACATTCGTGAAGGAGCTCTTGGCTGCGACACCACACGATAGCATACCAGACTCTACGGTACTATACTTGAGCTCTGCGATGCCCCGAAAACCCTATAAACCCAAAAAGCCCTCTGACCCAAAAAATCAAGGAAAGATATATCCCCTAAACCCCTTAAAACCACCGCCCTAACAGGCCCTCAGGCCCCGAGTGCCAGGAGTCAGCGATCAAGTCCTCCAGGCCTTGGGTTCCGAAGCCTCTGGGGCTGAAAGATCCATGGGGGAAATGTCGGTGTTTAGGGGGAAAATTTCGGTGTTTAGGGGGAACATTTCAGGGTTTAGGGGGAAAATTTCAGGGTTTAGGGGGAAATTTCGGGGTTTAGGGAAGTTTAGGGTGTCTCAGAAGGCTGGCTGTTCTTTGCATGTTTCACGGGTTTTCCAGCCCACAACTCTGCACCTCAAGCGTTGTTCTGATTTGGAGTTCGCTTCCTCTTTGAAGGCAATCACGAGACTGTCAGAGTCTTTGACAGAACGTGCACTTGTTATCCTGGGGTGGTGAGATGCCGTGCTTCCTCCCGGTTCGATGAAGACCCGCCAGATCTCTTCCATACCACCTACTATCGTGTCAAGCAAGTTGACAAGACAGCTGAGAGGAGCAGTATCTGAGAGCCAAGGTTCACTATCCCATGAAGATGTTGCTGCCGATTGTGATGATCAACTTCTTCTCCGAGGCGGACTACATTGCTGGACGGGCTCGCCGAAAGTCAAAAAGGTTGAAAGTTGAAGGTGTTGCAAGTGCTTTCATGACACTGAGAGTGGTGTTTGTCAGCCCGAGTGTGGGCATGATATCACTTCTCGAAACCACCCCCCTCTCTCCTTCCTTCAGGGTCAGCAGCAGTTCCTTCTTGCGGGGCCTCTGAACGCGCAGGACGCTTTTACGACGAAGAGACGCTCTACCGCTTGGCCACCATGCTGGGCTGGTCAGGAAGCCTGCTTGTTATCGCAGCCTCCTCGGCTGTTCCTGTGAAGCGGCAGAGGCATGTCATTACAGTGCTTTTCTTCAACAGCAACATGCGTGTTATCCATCTGCACACCTGCACTCAGATCCCGCTGAGCCATCGCTTGTGCTACTGCTTCTGCGATGAGCACAGCTCCCCTCTCCGTGACGCGGCTTCTGGGGTGTCGTGTAGAGCAGAGGTTCTCGAAGGCTGCTGGGCAGGCGCGCGGCGACCCGAAAAACACTTCTGCTACCGAACGGTACCACTCACATTCTCACGACTGGCCAGCGTCGAAGCCATTCTGCCCCGGTTTTTGAGTCAAACATGTCGGCCATCCTACCGACAAGGTGAGACGCTCACCAACATCTGTTTGGGAGCTCTTGCCACTCGACTTTTCGAGTAGATTCTGTTGAAAGAGTTTTAGTGTTCCGCCTGCTTTGGCTTTGGAGCTTAACGGCAATCTCATAGCATGGTGGACAGTTTCCTGTGAAGTCGTTGCACTGGACAGCTCGGGCAAAGGGTCGCTGCAGGAATTCAGGCAAGGCTTTCCTGCCCATGTCGTCCAGTGCTGAGGTGGCGTTGATGTGGGTGGTGGGATTTTTTGCTCCTTGGATCCAGAATCCCAGTGCCTGTAAGTTTTCACGCGTTGGTACAGCCATTTGCTTGCTTCTTCAAAGAATGGCGCATCGCTTCGCGTTTTTTTTGTAAGCCTGCTTGGGACTGCAAGTGAGAGTGGTCAGAGTAAATGTCTGTGTCTTGAGGGGATGGTGGTGTGGTGCGCTGGTGCAAACTCGCTTTGTCGACAGACGCCCATGCTTCCCTTGAGGTGAACTTCCGACTGGTGGATTCCCAGGCCTGCGTGCAGGGATATTTTCCCGAAACCGGAACATACTGCATGATCACGGGGCCCACTTTCTCGACTGAGGGTTTGCGGAGTGAAGTTCACCTTCAGGTGCTCTCTGGCTGGCTGCTTCCCCTGCCAGTTTTGGAGTGGCTGGCCTTCTTCTATTTGCAGCGAGGTTCCTTCAGATGGTGCAAAGGCTAAGGGCCGCGGCGATGGGTTGGAAGTTTTCAAAAAAGGTCCTCATGCCGAAGTTGCAACGGGGGAAAACTTCGTCCTTTGCATGTTAAGCTGGTTGCCCTGCTCGTGTCCTGCCACTCTGCAAGCAGTAAGCAGGCCAGCAGGTGTAGCCAAATTCGTGGAGCAACTCGGCTCAGCAGCCGCTCAGTCCGAGACTGTTTGGAGGGGGTCTGCCTCTGCTCTGCTCTGTGTTGCTTCCGTTTAGCTCTTCACCTTTTTCAAGGCTGAATCTGACTTTTCCCTATGGTACGCACCAAAATTATGCCATGATTGTTCGACAGGTTTCAGTGTGCAGAAAAGACTCAGCCTTGAGTAGACTCTTTGCCAATGGATGCTGGGGCCAGCCGTGCCCCGGGCCACCGCATGGAGCTCAAGTGGGGCTTCCCAGAATGGGTGTGAAAGCAGAGGACACGGTAGTTACGATTTTGGGACGCCCCCGTCGAACGCTTGCCCGAGTGCTTCACGAGAAGTCGGGGGAGCTTCCTTTCTCGAGAGCTTTTGGCTGTTGAGTGGATGGTTATAAACCCTATGACTACCACCCCACTGCTTTGAGTATGTTTTGCCCTTGCACCTCCACGGGTTTCAGCGTGGACCGGCCTCCACAGCAAACTGTCGAATGGAGATGTCATACCATCGAACAGGGGATGCAGGTCACGAGGCTCATCCAGCTGTGCGGCGGAAAAAAATCACTCGTCAGGTGTCAGATTCAACACAGGTTCATGGCTTGTCGTCTCATCACTACCTCTGTCTCTCTTGAAAGGTTCGAGAAATGGAGCGACGCTTGGACCACCTGAAAACCGAAGCCGAAAGCCTGAGGCCCGAATTGTCAAGCACCTGCGGTCATCGGCGGCAGGAAAGCGTGCCTGAGTGCTTCCATCCCTGGCCAGGCGGAAGGGAGAAGAGCTGCGAAGCCTTCACCTCAACTTGGAGGCAAAATGCTAGGAAGCTCCTCCCTCAAAGCCTGCAGGGAAAACACGTGTTGTTTTTGTATTCTTTCATGCTGTGCGATGCAGGCAGACCTGAAGGAAAGCAAGAGCCAGAACAAGGCGTTGGGATGGGGATGCTGCTGGCCACAGAGCAACACTGCTCGAGTGAGCCTATTGACAATGAGCCATGTTCAGTGAGGGAAGCGGCACCACGATTGTTCTGAGTTGAACTTGGAGAAAGAAGCGCAGGCCCAAATGGAATCCAACAAAAAGTTGGCACAAGAGGCCTGGTTGGAAGGAAAATGCTCTGATTCACTGCAGCCAGTGCCTTGCACACCCTGCCCCTCAGCGAAAACTCCCCCAGGTCTTTGCCATGAGATCAGACATGAGCAAGTTGGGCCAGTTCCGTGCAAGCTTAGACCAGGCCCAGCAAAGAACGGGAGCTCTGTGCGATGATTGTCTCATTCGGGCTTCGAGGTCCTACATAGACAGGTTCGGAGCTTCTTGCAGTGAGGCACTGCGCAGATATGATGGAATGTTGCTTCATAGATGTCGTAGATGTGGTAAGGCCCCACCCGAAGTTCACCAAGCAAGATCTGTTTGTATCCCTGGCACTGCAGAGGCTGTTTCCTTCGTGGACAGCCGCAAATGAACTTGCAAGCACATGCTGTTGCCAGAAAAGGCCGATGTACTTTACGTTTGCCGTGGCTGGAAAGCGCTCATGCATAGGCAGTGTTCCTGGCAAGACGTTTCAGGATATCCGTGTCTGTATGCCGAGACAATTGCTTACATGATTCACCTGCAAAGTGCAAGCGGAGATGGTAGCTTATCCAGGTTGGATACGCTTTGTCTTGTTTTGGCTCAGCTGAAATGTCACGGCCCCCACCAAATGCATATTGATCCCCGGCCGCAAGAGAGGCTTTTGTCAACACCGTGCTTGCGAAGGGGACACGTGTGTCACATGAACCATCCTTCCAAGGACCGTTGTTTTCGAAATTCAATTCCGCCGTTTCGACATGCACATTGTGCTCCTCTTCGCTCCTTGGCATGTTGATGCTGTTTGAGATTTTCGGCCAGTTGAAGCAAACCTTGATGAGGTTGTCACTCCCCTGCTCAATGCAGCTCGTGTGGACTTGAAGGACGAAAGTTCCAGCATGTCAGCTCCTAGTTTCGATTGTCTTTCTTCCCAAGACCATGAGAAGGACGTCCGAGCTTCTTCGGGAACTGCAGATGAGGAGATCGAGCATGCATGTTGGGGTGCATAGGGCCTTGTAGCATTCGATGGTCGCCCAATTTGCGAAAACTCACTGCGATGCCCGGGTTTTTTGCACCAGGACAAGACGGGAGGAGACATGAAGCTGCAGCGGCTCAGAGCATTTAACGAGACTGGTCTGCGCATGCTCAGGGAAGGCGCCGACCTTCCTTTGGTGACAAGTTTCGCCGAGACTGACGCTGCCACAGAACTGCCGTTGGAGTGGAGATCCCAGCTGAAGATTGCAAGGAAGCTTGGAGAGGGCTCCTTCGGAACAGTCTACAAGTGCAAGGTCCTTTGTGCCAACACAAGTTCATACGTGACAGTGAAGTTCATAGAAGGAAAATCTTCCATGGTGAAGAGGGAGATCAAGCTCCTAAAAGCGATGAGAGGCGTTTCAGATTTCTGTACTTCAGCGATTGGTTCGCCTTCTTCTATTGAGACGGCGACCGGCTACTGGATTATGACGCATAGCTCGGACAGAAAGGTGGTGTTTTTGACTAGTGCTCCAGGCTCCAAGTTCATGCCACTCATGAACTTGAGCTCAGGATGCCACTCATGAACAGTGGTGAGCTTCAAGACTTGCTTCTACAGTGCGAAGCCAGCGCTTGCAGATACTGCAGTGCTGCCAGAAACTGCTGGTCCAAGCTGGGGGCGCGGTTTTTTGGAGTTTTCTGAAAGTCTGTAGTCGCTGTCACAAAGCTGACTGCACTGACCCTGAAGGCTCCTTACACGACGCCCTACATGCTCGCGCTCTTCCTTGACGTCGTCAGAGGTGTGAGGGCATTTCATGAGAAGACCGGCTATCTTCACGCGGACTTAAAGCCCGGAGCCCCAAGGGATCCGAGCTTCGAGATCGGTCTGCAGCCGATTCCTTGAGAGCTGAGGCCGGAAAACGTGATGATCAACTGTGGCTTGGAGACGTTTCATTCCACGATGTCGGCTGTCGCCTGGGGGTCCACGTCGTTTTGCCCAGGGGGCGGCATCGGTGGAAGTCTTCTAAGGTCAGGGCGACGGCTGCTTCGCAGCAGTCATCGACCTCGGTTTGGCTTGCGATCCCAGAAAGGGCCAATGCGGCCGCCGGGGCACACCTGGTTATGTTGCTCCAGAGGCGGCCGAAAGGCAAGAAAGGACCTTCGTCGCTTCAAAAAAAACCCTTCCTTGATGCCCAGGTGTGGAATGGTGATCCTCATGGTTCACGGTTGCCCTCACGTGATGTATGGGCTCTTGGAGCGATCTTGTATGAGGTGGTGTATTCAAATCTCCCTCCATTCTACGCAGATCGCAACGGAAGTAAGGCTGGCAGTGGTAGAACACAGAGCTTGCAGAACCGCATAATTTGCGTTTGTTGTTGAGTGTTTGCCAGGCCACAGCGTACAACCCACATCATGATCCCAACATTCCACAGCCTCCCAAAGCCATCGACGAGTTGGTGATTCAAATGCTGGAACCCGACTTTGAGCAACGTCCGAACATTACGGCCATCGAAGCAAGCCTGGAGGCGCACATCAGCAGCTCACCTCGAATCCCCCACCACCTCCTGGCCCACCAAACAGCTTCTGGAGGCCATCATCTATAGCACCACTGATTGGCGTGCCCTGAACATGGTCAGCGAGTCCCCATCAGAGCGCGGAGCCACCACGCCGATTTCGAGCTGCCTGTCGGAGTTGCTCGGTACTGTTGGTCACCCTCCTGCCCCCTTGCAACATCTTTGCTGCTGCAGGCATCACGAACCCGGATCGATCACAGCCTCTGCGATGCCTGAACGGATCCGGCATCATGGCCGCGATGTCAAAGACATCGGCTGAAAGCAGCTGCACCGGAAGTACTGCACAGAGCCAACCGGTTTTCCGTAGAGGTCTTGAAGACCATGAACATCAGCCCATCAAGCATGCAAGAGAGATGAGGCGTAAGCCAAAGAAGCTTGCTTGCGCCAAACTTCAGAAAGGCTCGGGCTTGCAGCCTTATAGTGGCTTGGGGAGTTTCCTTCAAGCGTAGACCTTGTTGTGGTTTGACTGTATCAGTCCGCAGTTCATCTGCCAAGTGGCGTGGACAGTGTCGGCGCCCGACGTGCGGCACCGAAGTGAAGCCAAGCCCCCAGAGAGTTTTGTTTCTGTCGAAGCAAGGTCACAGTTGAAGCTCTTCAAGTTCAGAACGTTTGGCCATGAAACGCAAAACGACTGGAGTGTATCGAAAAGCATGGTTGTAAAGGCGGAGGTTGTTCCTGAGCGCGTTGGCAAAGTTTTCCCAAAGAAAATGCTTGGGATAGGTGTTGGGCTGCTATGGTTTCATGATACATTTGCTTCCTTTCTCTGTCTTTGCTTTCCCTGTCTGTCTTTGACACTGTTCGAATCTGGGCCGGCATGTTCCATTGTAAACAGCAACTGATGCAACGTCTGGGTTCGCTCTTGGGTTTTTCGCGCGATCGGCGAGGTCCTTCCGACACGAAGGAGTTCCACTCGAGGAACCTTTGCGACATGCGCTTCGCTGTGTTCCTGGAGTGTCCCTGAATCACAACCCTCTCGGCATGCAAAATGGGGCTGCGCGTGTGGTGCCGCAAAGTTTTTCGGCCTGCGATGTGTGAATCGCGCCAGCACTTCGGGGAATGGAGTGTGGATCCACCACTGGACATGGCTACATGTTCCTGTTGCGATCCGTTGTAAACTCCAACAGATGGGCCTGGTCCTGTCGCGATGGATTCGGCACGGCGGCGTCGCTGCTCGTGTGGTGCCACTAGCAGCAGGCAAGCCTGTAAACTCCACTAGATGGGCCGCTGGTTGCTTTTGGCCTCGGTGCTCCGCGCATGTGTGATTTTGGTGGTCGATGCAATCCCTGGTAATTCCAATACATGCGGCACTCGTCTTTCTTAATTCTGCTCCCATGCATCTGCACATGTTTGGCTTTTAATACGCATGGGCCATTGGGTTTGTCGGTCTTGTTTACAACCCCTCTCGATTTTCACGCATAGCAGCATCGGCTTGCTCCTACCCGAAACCACGGCCAAGGGAACCGACTTGGGATAATCAGCGGGAAAAGAAGACCCTGTTGAGCTTGACTCCAGTCCGGCTTTGTGAAATGAGTTAGGAGGTGTAGCATAAGTCGGAGCTTCGGTGATCTTGAAATGCCACTACTCTTAATGTAGTTTTACTTATTCCGTGAAACTGAAAC